AATAAGTGTCCCTGCCAGATTAAATGTGCCTGCTCTCTTGGCAGTTCTGCACTCTGCCAGTGTTGGCCGTAGCTGCAGTTTTCTAATCATTTGGCTGTGCCATTACATTCCCACCCCCACATACCTGTTCTAAATGGCCAGGCACTGACTTAAATGCTGTGTCCCCAGCATGGTGCCTGGTGTGCATGTTTGTCGAATGAATGAAATCAGCAAAGGGAAGGCAAGTGTGGGTGGTTTTTCCTGGGAGCATAACGTGCAGAAGGTTAAGCTCTTGAAACTCCTTACTAAGCATGTTTTGGTTGATGAATTCAAGTGCAGAAGTAGAACTACAAACTGGTCTGTGCTACCACCACTACTGACTGCCTGCTGAACTTGTTTGTTTTTTAAAATTTATTCTAATTTGTTATATATGAAAACAGAATGCATTTCCATTCATAGTACACGTGTAGAACACAATTTTTCATGTCTCTGGTTGTACACAAAGTAGAGTTACACCACTTGTATCTTCATACAGGTACTTGGGGTAATGATGTCCATCTTATTCCATCGTCTTTCCTACCCCTACTCCATCCCTTCCCCTCCCTCCCCTTTGCCCTATCTAAAGTTCCTCCATTCCTCTCATGCTCCCCAACCCTATTCCTATTATGGATCAACATCCTCATATCAGAGAAAACATTTGGCATTTGTTGTTTTGGGATTGACTTACTTCACTTAGCATAGTATTTTCCAACTCCATCCATTTACCTGCATATGCTATGATTTTATTCTCTTTTAATGCTGAGTAATATTCCTCTGTGTGTGTATGTGTGTGTGTGTGTGTATGTATGTGTGTGTGTGTGTATATATATATATATATATATATATATATATATATACACACACACACCACAATTTCTTTATCCATTCATCTACTGAAGGACACTATCTGCTGAATTTAAGAAGAACTTGTCTTTAGGTCGATACCATTCCTTGGTTAGATTCTGAGGAATAGCAAGGTGCCAGGCGTTGCACTAGGCTTGGAGATGATTATGTGGGCCTCTTCCTGGGTTGGTGGGGGAGGTGTGTGAACCCGTGAACCACTAGTTAGATCACAGCATGGTCAATGCTGTATGAGGGCTCAGAGAAGCCTCTGGGAAGCTCAGGCTCCAGCAAGGGAACTTCCTAGGGCTGGTGGAGGGAGACGCCATGAGGCAGGAGCTGTGAAAGGCAGCATGAAGGGGCCTCAGGGAGCAGAGGCATCTGTGTAGAGTGTGAATGCGAACAGGGGCGGGGATGGAAGCACGATTCTGTGTTGATGGAGAACTCCTGGGGGGGGGGGCGTCCTGGGGGGGAGGTTTCAAGAGAGACTGGCTTGGGGGTGGGAGCAATGGCTGGAAGGAGAGAATATGGAGGCACATACTAGGTATGAGTTAGTATTATCCAGGTGAAGGGCTTATTCATTTTTTTTTTTAATTGTAGATGGACACAATACCTGTATTTTATTTATTTATTTATCTATTTATATGCAGTGCTGAGGATTGAACCCAGTGCCTCACTGAGCTCTATGTGCTAGGGAAGCTCTCTACCACAACACAGCCCCTATTTTTAGTTTTTGAAGTTCCTTATATTGTATGTGTTTTTATCAAAAACCTTATTCTGTAATTCATTGGCTAAGGGACTGAATTTTACCTTTGTTCTGCAGTTCAGTTGACAAGAACCTAGAGTCCTTTGTTATTTAACCTGCTGTTCAGAGCATAAGATCTGAATGTTTGGGCTCATAAATAAAATTTCACAGCATAGATTTCATACTGTAGATCTGCCGCCCACCAGTGCTGAGCTAACTGTATCATGTAGACACTCTAGCTTATCCTAGAGTGCCTAGTGACGGGCAATATTTGCTTCACCTTTTATTTTCTGGTCTGTCTTTGAAGATTGGTCTAGAGAATGTTCTACAAAGGAAAGCTGTTATTGCCTTCGCTGGACTGACTTCTACCCAGACTCACTGCATGTGGTTACAGTACAATGCTTACGCTAATTTGCCACTTAAGTGATTTTTGTAACTTCTGATTTAACTACAGAGTAGGACAGTCCCTCCTCTGCGGGGCTTTCAAGAGGACAGGAGTGCTGTGCAAGGTGCTGAACACAGAGCTGGTGGTTTCCTTCCCTGATTGGTAGTGAGCCTGGATTACTGGGGGGGGGGGGAGTAGTGATCTGCTCACCACTATACATAAGGAGCCCTTGGAACCAATTCTAGCTGGAAGTTACGCGGCACAAAGCACTGTTGTCCTGTGGCATAGACTGTCTGACTTGGAGCCAGTTAATCCTGACAACAGCTGGCCATGGACACTTGGCTAAGGCAGGAGGGTGGTAGGTTCAAGGCCAGCCTCAGCAACTTATTGAGAGCTTTTCAAAACTGGTGGAGTTGTATGTAGTTCAGTGGTAAAGCACACCTGGGTTCAATCATCTATACAAAATACAAACAAGGGGCTGGGGTTGTGGCTCAGTGGTGGAGCCCTTGGCTAGCATATGTGAGGCCCTAGGTTCGATCCTCAGCACCACATAAAAATAAATAAATAAAATAAAGGTATTGTGTCCAACTACAACTAAAAAATAAATATTAAAGAGAACCAGTTCAGTAGCTGAATGTCCTTGGTACCATACTTACTTGTTGAAGTCTTTACATGTTAATAATGGTGACGAAACAAAACAGATTTTCTGCATCAGGAATAGTTGGAATACCCTCCAGAATCTAAGCCGTATTTGAGGTTGCGTTGTGGGGTTTTGTTTTGGTCAGTCTGGCAGGTGCTTGCTAACTTCATCCCTTGCCTCCTTTAGTGCTTCAGAGGATATCCCCAAAGCAGATGCGATCCGCACCCTGATCAAGGATCTGTGGGACACGCGCATAGCCAAGCTCCGGGTGTCTGCTGATAGCTTTGTGCGGCAGCAGGAGGCACATGCCAAGGTAGGTCCTGCTTCCCTTTGCTATCTTCCCCCTGGAGCTGGTGGGCTCTGCCCCAGAGTTTTTTTTTTTATGCCCCTGGAGAAGCTCAACCCAGTGTCCTACTTGCTCAGGCTGTTGCAAGATAGGAGATTACTAGCCATGCTGGGGGTGCTCAGTGGTAGGGCACTTGCCTGTTCCGCCCTGGTATCTAAAAGAAGCTACTAGAGAATCTCTTCACTATGTACAATTAGCTGATGCCCTGGGTTTGATTTCCAGCACCACAAAAACCAAACAAAAAAACCCCATTGGTTTGTTCTTAGTATTTTAGCTTTTATTCAAAATCAAAATTCCTTGGCCAACTGGGTCTGTTTTCTCTTGTTGCAGCTGGATAACTTGACTTTGATGGAGATCAATACCAGCGGGGCCTTTCTCACCCAAGCACTCCATCATATGCACAAGCTCCGTACAAACCTCCAGCCTTCTGAGAGTGCCCCATCTCAGGACTTTTAGAGGAAGGCCTGTGGTTGGCAAGATTTATCCTGTCTGGCAGCAAACTGCTGGGTGGAGGCTGGTGACATGATGGAGGTACTTGTGTATCTGGAGTTCTGGAAACATTTTTAAATGTATGAACAATGCTTGAACAGGTGCCGAGACTGGATCTATAACATTGGTGAGAAGCAAATTTGTGATTAGTTCTCAAAACTGAACACCCCTGAGCTGGGCATGGCGGTGCATGTCTGCGATTCCAGCAACTTGGGAGGCTGAGGCAGGCAAATTGTAAATTCCAGGCCAGCCTCATCAATTTAGTGAGGCCCTGAGCAATTTGGTGAGACCCTGTCACAAAATGAAAAATAAAAAGGGACTGTAGCTCAGTGGTAAAGCACCCTTGGGTTCAATCCCCAGTACCAAAAACAAAACTTCCTTGAACATTCAATCAATCCCCAACTAGTTTTAGAAACCAGTTTTTCTTTTGAGGGGAAAAGAAAAAAGTATTAGGCAACCAAGTCCTCCCTGTTGCCAGAGCCTTGGATTTTCTGCATGAAACTGTCACCCATGGTTGTGTTCAGTGACTGGTGTAGATATAGGAGTGGCGATGAGGCTGGGGGTGTTTTCCCTCTTGATCCCCATTTCTTGAACTAAATTTAGATCTCCTAGAGGTTGTTCACGGAGGATGATGGTGTGGGTGACTGGCAACGCTGGCCAGTGTTTGTCTTCTAAGCTACAATTTATAATAAAAACACCGTCAGCCAGAATCTGACTTTGCTGGGTTCTTGTCCTGTGGCCAAGATGATCTGATACTGATAGGTGTGAGGCAGTTGACTGGGAACTTCAGACCAGCGTTCTGGACGTTTGGGGAAAAACCTGTCCCAATGCATTAAGTGAGGCTGAAGACTGCTGGGAGGGAAAGGAGCTCTCCTGCTGCTCTTGATGGGTCAGGGAGAGGGCTCTTGGTTGAAGACAGCAGTGGCTCAGGAGATTGATTATCTTCTTCCTAAGAGAAAACCACTTCAGTTTTTGAACTGCAGCATTTTGGGATTGTTGGGCCCCTTAACAGAAATTTCCTTACCTTGGAAGGGGATACGTCATCCTGCACCATATAGTAAGTATGCTCAGTCACCAGCTGGTTTTGACTTGGCACCCAGGGAGTCCAGAGTTGTGGTGTGGCTACCTGGTCCTAGCGTACTGCTCGCCATCTGCCTTTCTGGGTTTGCTACTTGAGCACTGCTGATCTGGTCCAGAGCCGAGATGGCTCCTGAGCAGATGCTGGCTATCATGTGAACACTGGGCCAGACAGACCCAGAGGACTAGGACAGAAGATGGCGAATCTGATTAAAGGTGCTGTTCAGACATTCGATTTCTCCTTTAGAGGTCATCAGGGAACCTTAGAATGAAACCACTTGTTACTGCGGAGCTTAGGGGCTTGTGCGCCTCCATCTCACACCTACCACCCTGCTTGAAAACCCGAGCCAACTGAGGTGCAGCTGAGGATCTTCAGGTCTGACCTGTGAAACGATGTGGAGTTGGTGGTTGCCCCCCACCCTGGGGTTGGGGGTTATCTTATAAAAGATTTCTCTTAACATGATTTAGGAAGATTTTATTTTTTGGATGTTGTCAGAAATTACAGCAATATATTCATAAATACCTAATTACTACATTCAACAAATAATATTACAATACAGTTAATTCAAACAAGTACACTTAGAACAGGTTTAGTTTCACAGCATCTAAACTGCCCCCAGGGTGACCGAGGCACTGTTGTCCTCCCTCCCGCCTGAGTCTGGGTTTGCTGTCCTAGCAGTGAAGCACAGGGCACATACAAGTGACACAACCAGCGAGCATGTCTTCCTCAGGTCAAGGCAGAGTCTAGCAATCAAGCGCTGGATCAAAAAGCTGGGGACAGGCTACTGCAAGTAGTGACCTGAAGTCAAAGCATGGTTAACAGGCAGAGTCGAGATCCTAGTCAAGGGGCTAATGCACTGTAGGAAAGGAACAGAATCTGCTAAACATCTCCATCTCCTGGTGGATCTTGGGAATTGTCTACACTTTACGTGGCTCAGAGGGAAGGGGCAGATCTGTTCTGGTCTGAAATTTAGCTTGCTTTTTGAAATTTGGCAGTATTGTGAGCTACTTTGAGGGAAAATTCTGTTACAAACTTAACATTTCTTGTTTCATTTCCTTTCTGCTAAAGGTGTTGGCTCCTTTTGAGACTCAGTGTCCTTAGGAGTACAAGCTAGGATGATGAGAGTACCAGTTAAGATTAGAACTGAAGATGTGGAATCCTGTCTTTGTGGTCATGTTATCTGAGAGGAATGGATTGGGGGCTGTTTTGTTAGTTTGGCTCTGATTATATGAAATAACTCATTTTAAATATCTGGTTAAAGGTGGAACTACATGACCTAGCATCAGAGGGTGTCCCTTGCGTTTAGTGAATTCCCCATCAGGACAGATGGCGGCTGTCTCTTCCAGGTGATATGGCAGACACGGAACTGAGGAGGACTGAGGTATTCACATAAATACTGACACACAGGTTACATCATCAGTTCTAGAGCAGATCTGATGTGCTGCTCAACTTTTTTAAAAACATGAAGAGGGCTGAATAGAAGACCCTTCAGTTTGCATGTTTTTGTTAGCCCAGGTGAGGACAGACATGTGCTGTGTCCACCCGGAATCATCTGACAATGGGTGTTTTCAGAGCAGAGGGCCAAGTGCGGGGTGGGAGGACCACCGCGGCCTGGGTGGTGTGCCGTCCTTTGTGAGCTGCTTTCTTACCTTGCCTTTGTCTGTGCACACTGTCTGGTTTGTACTTGGGTCGTGATTGTCACATTACTTCTCGAGCACAAGAATCTTCAGAGGTCTCCACGAGCGGGAGAACAGGGAGGCAGAGCACGAGAGCAGGCGGGCCAGGCCATATTGCTAGCTCAGCACCTTGGCTCGCACCAGCAGAACTCTGCTCAGGTATCTATCCTCTGCTCTACATGCCATGAACTGCCCCTCAGTGTCCAACCTAGGGAGCGCCTCTCAGGTGCAGGGTGGGGCTGTGCATTTCCATTAAGTAATTAGATCTACTTTTCCCTTTTACTTTAGTCAATGCCATTACCAAGGTTGACTGGCAAAAGCACCCAGACACCTGACATGGCAAGCAGATTTTAAGCAGAGAAATTCAGTGGCAGTTTGCCCTGACTGCTGGCTGTGTAGCTCCCTCTGCACACCTGTGGACCATGTGGCTCCCTTTACTGTCTTGTAGTGGATTTTGTGGGGAGGAAGGTGCCTGACGACTGGCAATACTGCTGGCACTTATTGTCCGAGTGTGCTAATAACTGGAAGGTTCTTGGCAGGCATACAAACAGGCATGACAGCAGCCACTAACAAGCTGCTCTGCCCAACAGTGCTCACAAGAGCAGCACCAAGTGACCAGGCCAGGTATCCTGCCCTGTCCACCCCCAGGACAGCTAGGCTCTGGTTAGGGCCCTCTCCTGCAAGAGGTACTTGAAGGAACAGCAGCAAGGACTGGGTGGCACCCCATTGCTTCGTGGGGTTGGGATCTGCCAGGTTTCCCGCTGTTCCTGTCCTGGTAAGTTCAAAAGGAGTTCAGCTCAGACACTGTCGACCCTACTTCAGGCTTCCACAAAGCTTTGCATCTAGATAAAGCCTCTGAGATCTCTCCTTTCCACCTGCTGTCTGGTGTGTCGGAACGCTAGGGCAGAGTGTTCACTTCCTGCAAGGTGCTCCTGGGAAGACCTGTGCGTGTGTGTGGCTGACCCACCCCAGCTGTCTTGCTCCCCGACTCCCCTCCTCACTTGCCAACAGCGGGTTCTGTTTGCTCTGCCTGCTGTTGCCTCGCCCAGTGCCGGAGGTTGTGTGTGTGGGGGGTGTAACGCATGGCTTTCTACATTGGTTTCTGGTGCAACTCAAAAATGAAGTGATCGCATAGGCGCCAGTGGTAAGCTCTTTTACTTTTCTTCTTCTTTAATTTTTAAAAACACTTCAATATTTTAATGTCCTGACCAGCAGCAGTACAAACACTAAAAGCAAGTTGTTTTTTTTTTTTTTTTGCCCAGAAAAAACAAAACAAACAAAACCCCCAAACAGGAGAAACAAACAAAATCCCCCAAACCACATATTAAAAATGGCAGGCTTTTTATAACAATAATTAAAGTAATAAAAACATACAAAACTTTTTTTTTTAATATATATACACAGTACAAGGCTGAAGCACCTTTGACTTTTCTCTCAAAATTTACGTTTGTATGAAAACACCACCCACTGCAGTAACAATTTGGTGGGTGTGAATATATGTATACATAGAGCTCTGTACATTCTCCCCCATGGAGTAATAGAAAGGTACCTTCAGTCGTGGGTCTGTTTATCTTTAGGTGAGAGCATTTCCAGGCAGAAGCCTTGGATTGCTCTGTGTGCTCCTAGGACCTGTTGCTTTGAAGATAATTTTGCAGAAAAGTAAAACAAATAAGCCCTTTACTGAGGTTGCACCCAGCCTTCTCTTCAGCTGAAGCAAGTCCCACTCCTTGTAGGAACGGGGCCAACTCCAGGGCCACAGCAAGAGCAAGCCTGGTTCTTGCAGCACAGTAACACGGCACCACGAGGAACAACCAGCCGGGTCTGATCCAATCCCGTGCACCGGGGGCAGTAAACAGTATCGTTTTAGTGTTGGTAATGGAGCCTTCATTTCCAGATTAAAAAAAGAATGATGGGGAAGGAGGAGTAAAACCACCTTTGGAAAGAAAAACCATGGGCGTCCTACAGTGGTTGCTCGCTGAGTACAAGAGGTGATCCGACTGCACTGAAGTCAAGGTGAGTGCGTTCATTTTCGTCTGGAGCCTGGAACCCTTTGCTTCATGCATGGCACATTCTCATTTTTTAAGCTTCAAACCTCCCAGTGAAAAATATTAAATATTCAAGGTAATAAAATAGATAATATTTCTATACTATAGGTTCAGCCTAGTGCAAGGGAAACCGTCACCTCGGGTATCCCTTAAAGCAGCCCCTGGGCCAGTGCATGGTGGGCAAGGCAAGGCACTTCCGTAAGTGGTCCAGTTCTGCCTGGAGCCGCTCCCTCTCTGAGACAATCTTCTGCTTCTGGCTCCTCAACTCCTGGGGAAGGGAAATTCTTGTCAAAATACATTCATTCCATCTGTAAGTGTGTGGATTAAGCATGTGTGGTGCACGCATGTGCCATGGAAAGGCAAACCTGGCACTAGAATGTCAAGCTGGGAAAGGGATGTTTTCAGACAGTGGCCTCTTGAGGACAGTTTGAACTGGCTCTTCCAGAGCCTCAGACTCTGGCAGTACTTACTCTTTGGAATGGGGGATTGAACCCAGGGGTACTCTATCTCTTAGCAAGACCCTATCATAAAATTTAAAAAATAGTCACTTAGGCTGGCCTGGAACTGGCAATCCTCCTGCCTCAGCCTCTGGAGTCATCAGGATTATAGGTGTAGGCCACTGTACCCAGCAATAATATATGCTTTTAAAGAAGCAGCATGTTCCACTGTCTCAGCTCAAATCTGAGTTCTTAGAATCCCCTTTGCCAATGAAATCCTCTTCTGTCCTCTTGAGCAAACGGCAGCATGGGGAGACTGATGCAGGCAAGGAGCAGCACCTCTAAGTCCCACGAGCTGAAGATAGCCAAAACCCCCCTTCTTTGATGAATCTTGGCTAACTCACTGATGTCTGAATTTACCCGTGAAATGACAAGTTGTGACCTCTTTAAGGAGATTTCCCCTCTGAGGGCCTATTCAAGTCTCAAGACGACTCCCACCCCCCAAACACACACACTCACCGCCATGCTGTGGGAGAGCTGCTCTGCTGCCAGACTGAGGCTGTAGTGCTGTGCCTCCAGCCGCCGGCACTGTGACTGTAACACCTGACGCTCCAGGTTTTGCTCTGCAAAGACAAGAAGTGGCAATGCAACATCATGCAGGGACCACATGTCTTCCTGGCCCAGCAGCAACTAGCCTCTCTCCAGTGCAGGTAGATGAGGCCTCTCCTGGGGACCATTGTGCCTGTTGCCTTTGACTGTACAAATTAAGTCCAATCATTCAACAGGATATAAGAAGACGACCTTGAATCAAAAGGCAGTTTAGGAAGACAGCAGGGGAGAGTAAGTCTTTGTTTTTGAAAGCTGCATCTTAAAAGCCAGATTTTAAAAGGCAAGCTGCCCAATTTCAGAGAGGCTAGAACAATTTTAAGTACTGGCAGTCCAATTCAAGGAGTGTACAACATCGGGGGTGGGATAACATGGAAAACATTAACTTGACAACGTACATCATAAACTCAGCAAACTTAAATGGAATGCTTCTAAAGTTTCACCAACAGGAGTCTACTAATGCCTCAGCAATAGAGGTCCTAGTCATTGACAAGAAAATATGAAAACTCAAAAGGAAAGAACCCCACTTATTATTTGCAAAAGGTCTGTTCATCTATGATTGCTACCTAGGACTTAGCTTTTTCACTAAGTGAACCTAAAACTAAATCCAATAAAAGAAAACTGGTCATGGATAGGTATTCTAAACCACAGCTGTATAAACAAGATGCTAATTATCCCTAAATCTGTAAATTCAATGCAACTGAAAATCATGACAGGATGTTTTTTGGGGATGGGAGGTATAATGTAACAAGATGATCCTAAAATTCAGGGGAGGGAGCCAAGGAAGGGCTGAAACCAGCTGAGCAATAAGCTCAGAGTCAGGACAAGTCTTTTCAGATAGAGAGGTGCTAAGCTAGGGCCCAACTTAAAACACCCAGACAGATCTGCCTCCATACACACAGGCGAATCCCAGGCAGGAGAAAGCAACACTTGAGATACGCAAGAACATCTCATAGAAGAGCATCCTCACAGCCCTGGGTTAGGGAAAGAACTCCAAACAAGGCATTGAAAATGACTGATATGTCATAACTGTTTTTTTTTGTATGACTACTGGAGACTGAACCCAAGACCTCCAGCATGCCAAGCAAGTGCTCTAGCACTAAGTTAATCCCCAACCCTATTTTGTTATTTTGAGACAGGGTCTCACTAAGGTGCCTGGCTCGCCTCAAACTTGTGATACTCCTATTTCAGCCTCCTAGGTTGGTATCATAGGAACATGTCAATGCAGTGTGCTTTTTTTTGACTTGTTTATGAGTTATGCAGTGCTGGAGGTTAAACCCAGGGCCTCATGCATGCTAGGCAAGCCGTACACCTCTGTGCCACACCCTAGCCCCTGCAATCCCACCTTAACATTAGCAATCTACAACACTGGGCAATAAACAGCAGGAGGCAAACAGTGGTACCTGAGATTTGCTAGCCATGCTGGCACAGGCTGATGGATACCCAAGCATTCCCACTGTTCCCCTATGAGGTCTTTGTGGACATTCTGAGGAAGAGGCGGGTAGGAAGTGGTGTGCTGTAAGCACAATGGCAGTGACCTAGTCTGGGATTTGTGAGCCTGAGCCCCCCCCCCCCCCGTCAGACTCTCTGAAGGGCTGGAGTGTGCGCTCCTAGTTGAGGGCCAAGCGGCCTGGGTTGTGCCAGACTTGGAAAGCCTTGGGCAGAATCGAGAAATGAACCTCGGAGTAGAGTTAGCTCAAAACACAGCCATCATCCATGACACACTCCTTTCAGGGGTCCCATCATGCCTCTCAGGGACACAATCACAGGCATGGTGACCAGGTTGGCTACTGGGACTTGGCACACTAGGTGACAGCCCAAGGAGAAAGGCCCATGTCTAAGCTGTCATGCTGAGTAACAGGTGCCACACACAGCCAATGCTCTCGTAATTCACCGTGCCCAGGGTCTGGGGCACTGCTCAGCTACCAGGTAGGTGCCTGAAGGTCTGAGTTCTAGCCCAGTAGCCTCCATGCCCAAAACCCCAAACTGCCCCAGCGAGAATGGCCTCAGCTTTGGGCATGAGGAATTACCAGTGCCAGAGGCAGGAACCTGAGGAAATTCACCTTCTGGGACCTGCATCTAGTTACCCAGAAAAAGCTCCAGCACTGACTCCAAAGCAGCCCCTGAAGCTGGCAGGAGTTTTGTGTCTATAGGTGCTGTGGCTTCCTCCCCCAGAGCCCCAGAGCCTGTACCTTCTACATGTTCCTGGTAAGCTTCAAAAATCGCCTCGATCCCTTGCCACTTGCGCCTGGGGGCCTCCTCCTCCTCCTCCTCTTCACCGTCATCCTCACCATCGTCCTCCTCCTCTGAGTCTGGGTCCATCTCCTGTGTGGAAGGGCCCCTCCTCCCAGTTGGGAGCTCCTGTTGCCCGTTATGCTGGGGCAGGGGGACCCGACTGGAGGACTGCAGCTCAGGAATGTTGTAGTGGACAGATGTGTCGATTTTGTGGTTCTGCTCTGCAGACAGCACAGCCACACTCCCTGGGGAAGATAAACCAGCATCTCAAGGAAGGGTCTCCAGAGGCTTTGCCCTACCTTTGGTGCAGAGTAGGACCGCAGCCTGCAGGCAGATTAAAGATAAAGCAAGCCCAAGGTGGCTCCTTACAGAAAGATGGGACTCCTGCGTGACCTTGGGCAAGTCCATCAGTTTGAATTTCTAAGCCCTCAGGAAATGCAGCTCCTCCTCCCTTGAAGGGCGTGAGCATTTCAGTCCCTGGGCACAGCACCAGCACCCCCTGTGGCATACATGGCCCTGCTGCCTCTGGGTGTTGGCATAGTCAATAGCCTGGCATGGCAGGATGAAGAAGCAGGTGAATAAACAAGGCAGGAAAAACTATCCCAGGACCACATAGAAGTGTGTAAGGCGTGGCTAGAAGGAGCAGGAGGGTGGTTCAAAGTTCGTAAAAACCATCTCAAAATCTACCCTAAAGAGTAGGGACCCATCTGCCTCTTGTAAAAAATTTATCCTGAAAAATGGTTCTTCCTAATAAATTCATGATAAAAATCCAGTAACACACTCCCTAATTTTTGTGGAGTTGTTCCCCCAACCTTCAGTGCTGGGGATGGAATCCAAAGTCTCATGCATGCTGGGCACGTGCGCTACCACTAAGCTGGCCCCTCGCCCTGGGGAGTCTTTTAATCACTGCACAACCCACTACCCAGAGTTCCTTGCTTCCTGGGGCCTGATTCATCTCTGCTGACAGTGTGAACTCGGGTGGAAGACCCAGCTCTGTGTCAGAGCTGGATGTCTGTTAGTTCAGCTTTAAAGGCATGAAGCACTAAACACCTAAACAAGATCTGGCATAACAGTGACTGGCTACTGCCGTTCACATTCATCTCATGCCCAATGGTTGCTTGTTGAAGTTTTTTTTTTTTTTCTTTTTGGTGCTAGGAATTGAACAAAGAGGGCACTTTGCTATTGGGCCACATCCCCAGCCCTTTTTACTTTTTGAGACAGGGTCTCACACTTGTGGCCCTCTGGTCCCAAGTCACAGGGATCACAGGCCTGTACCATCACACCCACTGTTGAGGATTTTTAAAAATGTCGAGTTTTGATTAACTGAATCACATGCAGTAATCCCTGTTCTCTGACCTTCAATGACTCCCACCAAATTTAAAAGGAGGTGGGAGTATGGGACCAGGAAAACAGTGCTGCCACTACACACTTGCTGGGTCTCGGGAATGAGCACAGGCACACTGGTGCCTCATGGAAGGACCAGAGGGGCCACTCTATTGTGGAAGACACAGCAGCTCATGTGCCCTTACTCACGGCATCACCTGCTCTGTGACCTGGGAGTGTGGTCCCCAGATCAGCTGCATTAGGTTTGCCTGGGGGCATGTTGGAAATGGAGTCCTGGGTCCTGCTCCAGACCCCTGCCTGGTGAGATCCCCAGGTGCCTGATGGGCACTGAAGTTTGAGAGTGCACGCACATGGCTCTGCTGAGCAGCTGGTGTGCAAAGACATTAAGCAGCTGCTAACTCGTCCTGGGAGCAGAGTGGGACGGGCAGCCTCATTACCTTTATGCTTCTGCAGGGCCTTCTGGGTGGACTGCAGCACCGACTCGTGGAACTGATGCGCAAACTCTTCTGCCATGAAGGGCTCCCACGGCTTGCTCTTCCCGTTGATGCTGTGGGACAATGGCACAGGAATGTCCTTGGGTGCAGCACCCCGGATGTAATGAAGCATGCTCAGGTTCTTCTTGCCCCCAGGGGCCTCGCTCAGCCTGGCCTTCTCACCGCTGGTAGGAGCCGGCTCCTGGACTCTCGATAGCTCTTGGGGCCTCAGCTGTTCTAGTCTCCCAGTCTCCGCGGCCTTTGGGATGTCGGACAAGGAGGCAGCGACCCCAATAGGCTTATCCACCTCCAGAGAAGCTGGCTGTGTGGCTGGTTCTTTGAGAGACAGAAAATGAGGGTAGGTTAAGAGCTGCAAGTTAACCGGCCGAGTGTCTAGCACGCAGACCCTGGTCTCTAGGAGCTTATGTTCAACAAAGACCTAGTGCAAAAAGCCAAGACTTGGGGACACTGAATTAAAATTGTTGTGTACGCGGATAAGGAAGGTCTGAAGACACGGAGTGCTTAGAGGCAGGTCCATCTGGGAACAGTGCCTCCAGAGAGCATCTGGGAAGAAACAGATCAGAAGGAAGAAGCAAGTCACTTCTGGTCCCGAAAAAGTAGGGAGTTGGTTTAGTCCAGCTGGATAGAAAGAGCACCCGAGCAGCAGAGCTAAGAGGACTGCACTGTGAGGCTTTCTGCTTCCTTCGCTGCACAGAGGCACAGTCAGACTTGAGGAAGGAGGTGAGAACAGGTGCTGGCGTGGTGGGCGCAGACAGGCTCAGGCCTCAGGCCCACCCACGATGACCACCAGGTGGCTCTATGGCAGCAGGCACCCTCCCTCGGCTCTGTGCCCACCTGTGAACTCATACTGTATCCGCAGACCTGCACACTGTGTGCGAAACACGAACTGTACAAGAGAGACGGAGAGAAGGCGGAGAAAAGCGCTGTCTCCAGCAGGTCAGGTCTACGACGAAGACGACCTGAGGGTCACCTCTGACCCTGGGCAGCCCATAGTTCCAGCTGGTGGTAGGTGGGGCTGTCCTTCCCTTACCGCTCAAGGAGACGGCAGGACTGTCCCTCGGAGAGTTTGTCAACGAGTCTGCCACTGCTGCTGACAGTGCCCTCTGCTTCACGGCATGGAGCATTTCAACAAGCCTCTCTTTGTCTGTGAGAAAAGCAGCCCGAGGTTACCGAGGCAGCCGTCCTCCGAGCGGGAAGGAAGGTGGGAGTCTAGCCCGACTGTGATTGGCAGGACGAGCCCCTCAAACTAAGAAGAACTGAGAGTGAGTGCCATGAGACGGAGCCTCTGTCTACACGCGGGCCAGGTTCCTGGGCTCCCACCGCACGTCTCAGATGTGCTCCAGACCGCTGTGGCACTCTTTAAGAGACAAGGAGATGGCCCCTGTGAAAGGAGACACTCTGGGGCACAGTGCCCCTTCCGGTATATGTCTGGTGCTTCAGCGCCACCCCAGAATCACAGCCATTTCCTGAAAAGGAATGCAGACCCCAACAAGTTCCACCCCACAGGTCCTGTTTCAGCGGCACTTCCTGCCAGCTGTGAAACCGAAGGGGCCGCGGTGCTGATGCTTTCTCTAGAAATTCAGCCAGGTGAAAAGATGGTTTTTGCAAACAAAACTAGACATGTTTCCAGGGATTTGTGTTGGCAATCAACCTGTCACTAACCCTTAAAGGGAAAGCAGAGTGCGACCTGTTACAATGGGAACAAACTGCTACATCTCTGGAAAGGAACATGCTGAGGCAAATAACGGGACCCTGAGGCCCTCTTTGCTTTCCCTTGACTTTCTTAGCACCAGGCTAGCGTGTCAGGCAAGCCGAGGAAGCGGAAGAGCTAAGGAAGTGCTGCAGCACACCGTCTCTCCTGCACAATGGCTTTGAGCCCAGAGGGTCTTTCCCAACATGGCCAGACCCATCTGGAAGCACCTTTCAGGGCAAGCTGTCTGCTCGGCATGTGTTGGCTGTAGCTGGTGGCTATAGGCCATCCCTCTACCTCCCTCGCCAGGCCTCCTGCCATCAGAACACAAAGCCCAGAAGATCTTAGCGGCCCACCCAAAGGACGAGCCTGCAGTTTGCAAGCCCAGAGTGCCTGATGAATGGAAGGCAGCATCTCCCACACTCCCAGGTGGAGTCCCTGAAGTGCTGTGCCTTCTCAGGCTCTAGAGGATGGAGAGGTGCCAGGGCAGCGTCAGCTCCAGATAGGCTGCACATGCAGGAGGACCACTAGGACTTCATGTCCATGCAGGATGCAACCAGAAGAAACGGGCTCAAGTGGGGAGCAGCCTTGGTGGGCCTGCTTCAGAAGCACATGCCCCCTGGGAGCCCCATCTGCCCACCCACGCGGGCGTGAGGCCATACCTTTCCTCTTCTCGGCACTGATGTGGGTCAGGTTGAAGATGGTCAGGAACTTCCTCTTCTCCTCGAAGTTGGGACTATTGTTCATCTCGTCGGGGCTATAGCGGGTAGACAGTGCCAGTCTCGGCGAAGGTGTCTGCCGCTTACTCTGAATTGCCGGGGGTGAGGGGCTCCTCTCTCTCAGCATCCGTCGCCGCTTCCTCCGCTTCTGGGCCACCAGTTCCTCCTTCTGCTGTTGGGTGGTCAAGCCAAAAAGTTGCAAAAACTCTAGCTTCTGGATTGGAAAAGAAAACAAATCAGTTGGAAACCACTGCAGTGGTCTGCTCTCGCTGTCCCGGGGTCCCCCTCTGGGGTCCTCCAATCTGCTGTGGCCAACTCGGTGCCAGCGATGATGGATAGGGGACTCAAGACTAAGAGCCCAGCCCCGAGCATGCCCCAGAGGTGAGGAGGCCACTACCTCGGAGGACGTGTCCAGTTTGAGGGGGGCCTGCTCGGCTACGCAGCGGAGGTGGGCTCTGACCTCCTCCTCGTCGCTCTCGTCATAGGACTCATCGAGGTCGTAGTAGTACCCTGGTGGCAGAAGGCTACACTCAGTCAAGGAAAGACCAGCCACCAGGCCACCTGCAGGTCTCTTGGAGCACCCCTAAAATCAGTTCCTTCCCACCCCACTGGCCACTTGCACTAAGAACAGCAGGTGCCCAGTTGGCCTTGGACCAAGTGACTGGGCAGACAATACCCTCTGGCAGGTGCCGAGGGTGCACACGTGCTCCCTCCTACTGTGACCACCCAGCCTCCCCCCTGGGAGGCAGAGCCCTACTCCATGGTCACAGGGTTGCTGGCCTTCTCTTTTACAAGATGAGTGGGGAAGAAAAACTTCAGTTGGGCCCCAAATCTAACCTAGACGAGCAACCCAGTAAGACGCTGCTGCACTCTGGCTGTCCCAGAGTCTCGCAGCCAGGCCTCTTCCCTGCTTTCCCCAGCTGTCTGGCAGCTCAGTGAGCTGCTAGCTGAGCTTCCTGTACCAGCAGAACAGTTAGGAAGTGCCCAGCTCTTGGCCTGGCCGGGGCAGCGCCAGCTGTGCTCCGCACTCTCTGGCCACTTGTCTACAATTGACACCAACCCTGTACTTAGAGCCCTGCTGGGCCCAGGTCTGGCCTGTCACCAGCTTCTTCCCCTGTTAATGCTGCACTATTAATATTTAACACTACTTCATCAGTCTCCACACACCACTTATCAATCCTGTGCGTCTGCAGCACCATCCTACACGCAGGCTTCAATTTACCCATTTGGGACAGTGTGCGCCATGGCAAGATAGGGGGTGGGGGGTCCTGGGCCTGTCTCCCCAGTGGAGGTATCAGATGCTGTATAAAGGTCTACAAATTTGCCACCTGAAGCCTATTAACACTCCTGCACCGGGGGCGGAGTGAGCTGGCACTAGGAGCCCTCATTCTGCTAAATTCCAATTCTCAAGCAGGCTGGGTCCTAGGGGCTGCACCTTTTTCCTGCGCCTCCCGCCGCCGGCGCTCCTCCAGATCCAGCTTGCTGACCAGCCTCCGGCGCTGCTGTAGGAACTCGTCATAGATGTAGGAAGGGTCAGGGCCCCTGGGTGTTGGATGCCGGTAAGGTGAGCCAGGCTTCAAAGGCCCACTGAGCTCCCCGAAGGAGGCTGCCGGGGGGAGGGAGGCTCGCTGCTGGCCCAGGATGGTCTGCGTGGACTTCTCGAGTTCAGCAAGAAAGGGCCCAGGCCCTGGGGGGAAGGCCTGGGGCTCCAGGCTTCCTGCCTCCCTTGGTGGAGGCTGGTACTTGTCCAGGGGGGCAGTCTCGCGCTTCCGGGGCTCCTCAGCCTTCTCTGGGCAGTAGACACGCTCCACCTTCACCAGCGGCACAGCAGCCTGGCGGCTGGGCTCAAATGCAGCTGGGTGGCTGTGCAGAGTGTGGCTTTCAGCCCGCCGCGTCTCCAAGGCAGTGTCCATCATGGACACTGGGTTCCAGAGGGCCGTGGGCATGGTGTGGTGCTGGGGCTTCGGGGAGATGAGAGGTGGAGGCCCACCAAAGTGCTGTGGAGGGTCGCGGCTGCCCTGGTCATGACGGTTTGGTCCTGGCCTATGGAGACAGCAGTTGAACCCATCAGTCACTCACGCAGCCCACTGGCCCCTAAGGTCCCCGTGGGGCTCCCTTGAGAAATGGGTAGGAGGGAAAGGAAGAAGGATGTCGCCTGTGTGCCACATCCCAGGGCTGGGGTTTCAAGTCCTCCACTCTGAAAACCGGGGCAGGCGTGTACAGACCTGCCTTGAGGGGACATGGAGGCGCAGGCCCAGGGTCCTGCCTGCTGTACAAACACCCATGAACACGGGCCTCATCCTGCACTTTACCGGCAAATTCATCCCTCAGTGAGATGTGGGCCTGCCTCGGGCTTCTCCTCCAAGCAATGGGCAGGTAGCAGAGAGTGGGTCAGCCCTCTGTGCAGGGGCCGTGTCTGTCTGCCCAGCCTAGAGCCAGAACAATAACTAGGGAGCCATGCCCATGAGGTGGGGGCCCAGCTGCTGCCCGGCCCCCTGGTGGTCCCCATCAGAACTGCAGTGGCTCCTACCTGGGCAGGAGGGTGGTGGGGATCTTAAAGCAGAGGACCTTCCTGTAGACAAGAAGCTTTTCACATGGTTAAATGTTTCCCCTCTGCATTTAAAATGAGTCATTTCATGAACGGCTATTTTGAATGTGTACCTATCTTCCAAAGCTTTCTTAAGACACATAAGATGTTTGAATCCATGCTGCCCACTGGTCTAGGTCAAGGGTTGCAGGGAAGAAAAGGGCAGAGGCCAGGGTCTCAGTCCTCCCTCCCCACCCAGCTGGGGATCTGTGTAACAGGGCCATCATGGCTGCCCCTCGTTATACAGTCCCGGTAGTGACCCCACAAGCAGTGAACATGGAGACCACCACCAAGAAACCGTATCCACAGGAGAACAGCAAAGCAATAAAACCGTTAGAATAAATATTTCACACACCAGGGCCAAACACTGAGCGGTTTTTCCAGCTGGGAGCGCAAGAACCCCGTCAGAACATCAAATTCACGATGCTATAGGGCCACGAGTACAGCCAGACAGAGGGCCTCAGTGCCCCAGTGGCTCCCCAAATGGGAAGCACGTATGTAGACCAGGCCCTGAGAGCCCCGAGTGCCAGGGAGGCTGGATGTGGCTGGTGGACACTCTTGGGCCTCAGTGTGAGGCAGATCTGCAAGTCAGAGGGCAGCTCCCTGAGCAGACAGGGCTGGTGCAGAGGGACAGTCTATAGCAGGGGGGACCCCACTGCAGCTGTGCTGGGTAGACAGGGGGCCAGGCCTAATGCCTTCCCAGTCACCCGGATTAGCCCAGCTAATCCCCTTGCTGCCCTGCTCTACAGCAGAGCAGGGAGGGAGGGAGGGAGTGGAGACTGGAGCGGCAGGGTGCCGAGTCTTAGACACCGCAGTGTCTTATGGCAGACAGCACCACAGCTGCTGAGGGCTGCAAGATGCTCAGGGATCTTCCCGCCTACCCTCCTTGTGCTGAGGAAAGGGAACAGAAGCTGTGTCTCTGGGAGGCACAGAAGGCCTGGCTCTTCAGAATGGGGACATGATGCCCAGGCAAGTAGGGACAGGGAGGTCTAGGGGGCGCTGGTGACCAGCTTACAAGGCCAGTAGGGGCCTGATGACAGGCACAGGTCTCCTAAGAAATTCTCAAAGGGTTTAAAAATAAGGGATCTCTCTTTCATTTTAAGCAATACAGCACATCTTTTCCTTAAATAAAAATTAAAGGCGGTCCCCGTCTCATGGGGAAAATGAAAGCTGAAAAGACGACGACAGTGGAGAAAACAGGGATTTTGGTACATAAGGCTCCTCCCTTGCCATCTTCTAGAGCCATAAATGGTGTACCAGGGCTGCCCCTGGCTGCATGTGAGGGAGCCTGGTGCTGGACCTGGGCTGGGTGGCTCTGCCCACAGTGCTCCTGAGCTGGCTGTGCCCTCAACTTCCTCGCCGGAAAAGGGAATGGGGTGAGGCCTGGAAGCAGCAGAAGCAGGCACCTCTGCAGGGTGCTGGGCTAACCCCAGGTGCCCCCTCACGGAGGTCCCCACGCCCGCCCTGCCCCAGCTGCTGTCCCACCTGGTGCTGTCAGGCCGGTGCTCCGCCTCTGTGGGCACCGCAGGCCGGCCCATGTCCAGGTGCTGCTCCAGCACCTGCTGCCGGAACTCGGACACCTGTGACTGCCGGTCTTCCTTCTCCTGCCGTAGCCGCCGCTGCCGTGCCAGCCACTTCTCCTCCTCGTTGGTGCGCTGGATCAGCAGGGCCGTGGCAGCACTGCTCCCCGGCAGAGAGAAGATGCCGTGGTTGGAGATGAGGCTGGGCACGGTGTGGTGTGGGGTGGGTACCGGGTGCAAGGGGTGCTGCACAGGCTGGGGCGCCTGCAAGCCCATGTCCTTCAGCTTCTCTGTGGGGAGAAATGCCGTCACCGCAGGGTCCCGCTGCCCCCAGCCCTTCTCACTGCGTTTCAAGGGACTCTTCCCACCCCTTCACGGGAGCTCTCCGGAGGCACATCTTGTCCCGAGAGCAGCACGCTCGGTGGCCGGCCAGCCCACTGGTACCGGCGCAAGCAGAGCCATTACTAAGAGCTGTTTAATTAAAACAACTAACAACTTTCAATGAGGTAAATCACATTCAACCCAAGGCTGGGGCTCATCACTTCCACGCTCTCGGGGCTGCCCATCTACCTCTCCTGTCCTGGGTGCCACCGCGCACCTCCAGACTCGGCTCAGCAGCATGGCCCCGTGGCTGGAGAGCAGCCGTGCTGGGAGTGCTGCTGACCCTCGGTCCCTCCCTCCTGCTGACGGCCCGGGCACCTGCGCGCGTGGGGGTCAGCTGCTCCGAGGGCTTGACTCGCTCTTCGGCCGTGTGGCCCCGGAGCCCGTGCAGCTCAGCCACAGGCAGGAAGGCCGGCTCCAGCGCCTTGGCCGTCAGCAGCTCCTTCTCCCGCGCCCGCTGCTCCCGCTGGCGCTCCAGCTCCCGCTCCCGCTCCTTCTCCCGCTCCCGCTCCAGCTCCTTCTCCCGCTCGCGCTCCTTCTCGCGCTCACGCTCGCGCTCCTTCTCCCGCTCCCGGTCAGCCTCCCGCTCTCGCTCCCGCCGCAGCTCCTCGTCCATCTGTAGCCTGTGGGGCAGGCAGAGAGGGCTCGGGGACCCCGGAGAGCACGACCCGGGGCAGCCCACCACAGGACTCCCAGGACTCGGAGCAGCAACGGGGAGAGCCGGCTCTTCTCTCATCGGGGCAAGAAGAACCTCAGAGTCCAGAGTTCCACGAGAGACCCCCAAACGCCCTGAAGCCCTTGGCCTGCCGGGTGCATCGCTCAGAGCGCAGAACCGCCAACAGGCCCGTGGCCACCCCACTGAGCAGGTAAAGGAACTCCTCACCAAAGGCCAGGAGTCCACCAGACTCCAGCCTGTGCGTCCCTCCCCCTGCTGTCCAGGACTCAGCGGACCCCCCGCCCGCAGCCCAGGACAAAGCTCACCTCTCCGCACTAAGGCTGGACATTCGCTCCGAGTGCAGCGCTGCCAGGGACGAGTGGGCAAGCTCGGGCGGGTAGCGGACCCCAGAGAGGTGCAGGTGCACAGCCGATGGGTGCAGCGGGGGCAGGGAACTGGGGGCGGGGATGGGGTAGAACGGGGACCTCAGGGCCGACAGGCAATAGGAGTCGTCCATCCTGCATGAAAAGAAGGGACGGGGGCGGGGCGGGGGGGCTACTGTCACTCACAGGAAAGGCAAGCGTACCTAGCATGTACAAAGTCCCAGTCAACAGGTGCTGCTTGGCTAGGTACGTCCACCTGTCTAGGCACGTTCCATGTGGCAAACTAGTAATAGGTGCAGGCCATGTCTTAAGGGCTGTCCACTTCTGATGACACCTATCAAGCCAGGTTCAGGGGGTTGCCATCCTGAACAAGAATGCTACCTGGCTTTCTCCAGGGCCTGTCACTTGCAAAGGCACCCTGCACACACCACACTCACAGCTACCAGCTACTGTGGCTACTGCCCAGAGCACAAAGACCAGGGAGTAGCTGCCTAGGCCACGGGGCCTCCCTCCAGAAGGAAATGCCCGATGGTAGTTAGGAGTTGGCTGGGACCTGGGGAAGGACATAGGGGCTGCCCCAGGCTTTCCTTGGGAGCATGGTCCCAGGGCCCAAGAGACACCTCCCACCAGGTTGCACTCTGCAGAGAACAGAGCAGTCAGTGCCGGAGCCCAGGCGGGGGTGGCTCACCTGAAGGCCGGGTGGGGGAAAGGGTGCGGGGCCAGGTAGCTGGGGTGGTAGTAGGCAGCGGCTGGGTCCAGGCTAAGAGGGGGTAGGGAGGACATGCGCAGATCCTCAGCAGTGTGGTAGGGCCGGAAGCTTCTCAGGTAGTCCTCGGTCACAGTGCTGGGCGGCACCACATGGTGCACGGGCCGCTGGAGGCTGTAGGGACAGCAGGCAGGCAAGCAGACAGGTGAAGGAGGCCTTCCAGCTGGGAAGGGTTGGGCTCCCCACCTCAGGCAGCAGCTTGGCAGGGAGGGCAGGGCCCAGATGCCCATCACCCCTGCTCTGGGCACAGTCCTGCCTCTCAGCAGTATGACACAGGCCTGCAGGTCCCTTAAGGTCCTCACCAGTGGGTATGGCTACAACCCCCAGTCTGGAGGGACTCCGGCCCCAGGACAGCTCGCAGCAGGGCTGGAGCGAGTTAACAGTCTCGGTGTGGAATGGACACAGGCACAGATGGGGCCTGCTCCTGGGGCAGGGCCAGCCACAGAGGCCAGCGACCATCTGGCGGCTCAGGCTTAGCCTCAGCTGGTGCAGGCTCCAGGCGGCCCAAGCACGGCCAGCCAAAGCCTGCCTCAGGGACCCAGAGACACTGACCTCCCCAGCCCTTCCCATGGCCCCAGCACTTACTTGAGTGGTGGGAAGCGGGAGTCCTGCACAACAGAGCTTGGGGAGAGGCCAAAGGGGTAGGGTGTGCTGAGCAAGTGGGAGGGGATGGCGGGCCCCCCCGCCTTCTCCTGGGGCAGTGGCGGCTCCACAATGAGGCGCTCCCGACCACTGCTGCTGCTCCTTGAGGTGGCGTCCTGCAGGACAGAGCCAGGGTCAGTACCAGGGAGCCTGCGTCAAGGCCCCAGGGCAATATGGCCAGCAGAGCCAGCTCTGGCCATGCCTGGGCTTCTTCAGACTGTGGAAATGCCCCAGGTTCAGCTTGTGTTCTAGAAACTTCCTTTCCAAGAGCTTTACTACCAGAAAAGCAGCACATGGTGTGCCGGGGTCACTCCTCACTGAGGCCTTGGCACCACAGGCTCAGCACCTCAGGAAGAGAGCCTGCACCCAAGTGGCCCTGGTGGCAAACAGAGGGAGGGGCTCACCCAGTCATGAAATGAGAGGAGGTGGTAGCTCTAGGGCCTGCTCCCCGACCTGGTCCCCCAGACAAAGAAGGGGTTCTACATGAACTGCCCCCCATAATAGCATCCAGCCCATGAGAGGTCCTGCCTGTCCTTGTCATCTGTTACCACTGGCACCCCCCCCCCCCGAAGGCCCTTGCTTCACACCCGCACAACTCCTGGCCAGCAAACCAGGCTGACAGTGGACATGCTCCCTGGGCAGGCGTCAGCTCTGCCACTCTGAGCCACAGCAACGGGAAGCGGGGGTCAGGGTCCTGCGACTGGCTCCTTGCTGCACCAGCAGGAACAGGTGCTGAGCCTGTCACCTGCCCTGGAGCCTGACCAGCCTGCCCCTCCCGGTGCCACTCTCCTCTGTCCAGAGGCCAGGCTGGCACGGTGCACCACAGCCCAGCCAGCCCCTGCACAGACAGGGAGGCCCCTCCTGCCCTCTACCTTCCCAGCACGCGCTCTCCACAGGACAGTCAGTGACAACTAATTGAAGGAGACAGGTCGCTGATTGGAATTTTTAATGAGTAGCAACATCTGCTCCTTTCTCTGTGCCCGGCAGGCCCTCGGCTCCCTGCAGGGCTCCTGCACGTTCGTGACCTCTGACCTGCCCTCCCAGAAGGGGCATTCATGCAGGTCATGCAGGTCTCCAGGGTGGGACACACTCGGCTGTCCCGTGCCAGCCGCAGGATCCTCCAGCTGCCCGAGTTACAGCAGGGTGGGCTCCCACCTGGTCTTAGGAAATGGCTCCTGTCTAGTCCCTGACTGCTGTGCCTCAATTCCCCCACTGTCACATGCCAGTCAGCCCAGCCTGGTGTAGCGTGGTTGGCCACAGAGGTGGACAGGATGCAGGTAAGGCATGAACTTGGGCTGGGCCTCACAGCTTGTGCCCTGCCCCTCACTGGCCCCTTGCACCAACGTCCTCAGGCCACTTCCCAAGTGGGGCTCCCTGCATCTCTCTCTCCTCCCCGCAAAGGACCAGGGTGCAATGGGTCCTGGGTGGGGGAAAGGATGGAGACACCCCTGTGCCTAAGACCTAGGATGGGCCAAACCAGATGCCACAGCCTCAGAGACCTCTGGGACCAGGGTACAGTCCCTAGAACTTCAGTCAGGACAGCCCCCACCAGCCCCCTTCTCCCCTTAGCCAGGGACAAAGCCTTGCTTGAAGGCAGCTGGGCCAGATGGCACCTCCCTGGCTGAGGATAAACCGAGGGAGGGCCGTACTCAGAGGGCAGGGGGCTCCGCAGCTAGACCCACATGCCTGCGGCTGCCTTCTGCCTGGAGCCCAGCCAAGCCTGCACCGGGCACCTGAGAACTGGGTCAGCGGGCTGGGCCTCACTGGGTGAAGAGCGGGTGACAAGGCAGCACCTTCATCCTGAGCGAGGCGGGCCCTGGGTGGCCCCCAACAACTCCACGGTGGTGGCCCGTGTGTGTGTGTGTGTGTGTGTGTGTGTGCGCGTGTGTGTTGCTGCAGATGGTCAGGGTGCACCTGCAGGGCAGCTCGTTACTCCTGGGCAACGGCTGTGGGCGCAGCTGCACGAAGAGGTGGCAGGCAGGGAGGGGAGCCCCCCTGGTGATTAGGGAGGCCCCACAGCAGGCAGGCGGGAAGGCCCTGCTGGCTGCTGAACAGACCATCCTTCACCCACCTCTCCTGCTGCAGCTTGCACTCCCGGGGACAGTGGCAACCCCCGGGAAGAAAGGGCCAGCATACCAACTGTGGCCACACGGAGGGAGGCAGGCCTCTCCCACAGGATTAGGCTCTCCACTGGGCCTTTGTGCCGCTGGTGAGCGCGCGTCACCTGCTCATCTGGCGCCTCCTCCCTCCCCTCCTCCCTCCGCATCAGGGGCTCACCAGCTGCCGCGTGGTGAACTGCTGGAGCACAGCTCTCTCGTGGTCCCCTCCCCAGGATCACTGAGCGATTCTGAGGCAGTAGGGACTCTCCTCGGGAGAGCCTGCTCTGGGCAGGAGGCATGTGGCAATGCCACTGAGCCCCTGCGATGTGTGGGGGCATTCACAGGCACCCTGGGTTGGGGTAAGGGCTCTGGTCTGCAGCTGGGCACAGGTGTCCCTGGGAGGCTGCTCTCGGGTGGGAGCAAGAGCCATAGTCACCAGCAGGGAGGAATAGCACCTGTGTCTTGGTCTCCTGCCTCCCCGCAAGGTCAAGGCTCTGACCCCCAGGGGAGGAGTGTGTGGCGAGAAGTCCAGAGGAAAACTCAACTCCCTTCTCCAGGACTGGCCCTCTCAGGTGGCCCCGAGGCCCCTCGGGTCATGGCAGCAGGCCCTCCTGTCCTCCCTTTCCAAGCTGCACTTGGTGGGGAGCGAAGCCACACAGACAGGGCTCCAGGGGCAAGTGAGGCTCCAGGCCAAGAAGCCAAGGTCAGCAGAGGCCACGTCAGGATGGGAGTCCTGCCTGGGCTAACTATTCCTAGGGGGGTGCAAGACTCCTGCTGGAATCCTTGGGGGTCTCCACCCTGGAGCAGGGTGGTCTGTGGCCTGAGGCTGGCTCCTGTCTTGCCTCAAGAGCAGCAAAGGTGATGACCAAGCTGCTGAGCCCAACCCCCACCCTGCCCAGCAGGGGAGACAGGGAGGGGGCGCAGGGGAGAAGTTTCCAAGCGTTAATTAGCGTTTCCAAGCAGGGCCACCCCTCCGGGAACATAGCAGAAAATTCAGATCCTGCTGCCAATGAGACGGCTCTTAATTAGGAAGGGCCCCTCTAGGCCCAGCACCAGGGTGCGTGGCAGAGCCTGGCCCTGGGCTCCTGGGCTCCCTGGCACAGGCAGTCACCAGTGAGATGGGTGAGGGGCTGCAGGCACAAAAGGAGCCCCCATGTCAGGAAAAGGCCTCCTCTGGGGGCTTCCAATGTAAAGACAGGCGCGGAAACCGCGGGACTTCCTGCCTGGTGGGCTGTAGCCAGCTCTTCCTATTTCAATTCCAGGTCTGAGCCAGGTCAAGTGCTGAGCAGCCCCCCATCCTGACCAGCACCTGGGGCGTGGCTGCACGTGGAGATGGGGCCTAGGAGGCCACACTGTGCACACCACTAAGGTGTGCCTGGTCCAATGACTGGAGGGCGCCCAAGAAGGGACCAGGACTCGGGCAGAAGATGCAATGTGCAAGCCAAGGAGAGGCCTCAAGAGGGACAGGCCCTGCCCACAGCCCCACCTCGGGCACTATTCTCCAGCATGGTGGGGAACAAACCACATTTACGCTGCCTAGCCTGAGGTGAGGTGCTCTGTCCTGGCTACCTGAGCAGGTGACACAAGGGTCACTCAGGCCCCCCTGCACAAGGGTGCTGCTGTCAGGCCCCTGCAGAGGAGACGGGGCTCAGAGTGAGGTGCCAGCTCTGACCCCACCTAAGAGTCTGGAGCCAGCAGAAGCCAAGGAAGTCCTCTCCCTGGGGAGGCACCTGCCCTGCTCAGATGCCACTCACCGGACGGCTGTCGCTCCTCCAGACCCCGTTGACAGTCTTGGTTGGGGCGATGGTCACCACCGGAGGTGTGCTGGGGACACTGTGGCCCCCAGGGGGGACGATGATGGGACCCATGGGCACACGCTTGGGTGTGCTGGCAGGGGAGCTGTGGTTGGTGGCTGGAGAGGACACGGGTGACGACTCACTGCTCAGCGATGACCCTGTGGAAGGAACACAGCAGCTGAGCGGGGCCAGGCCCACCTTGCACCACCGCCACTCCAGGAAGCCTCCCAACCCATACACAGGAGGGGGCAGAGACGCCAGACCTGGTCAGTGGCTCAGCCATGGTCCCTTTGCCCCACGGGCTGGGACAGCAAAACCCAAAGCATGCCGTGCTCTAGTGCCACCCCCACCCTACCAGGGGAGCCCTGTCCCACAACCAGCTGTCCTGGCTCCAGGAGAGGAGGGCTGTGCACATGGCCTGAGCAGAGCTGCAGCGAGCCCACCAGCAACTCTTGCAAGGGCCTGCGTGTCCTTGGGGGCTGGGACCTGGACTGGGTGGCCCAGGAGGCCAACACCAGTGTCCAGGAGGCTTGAGGCTTGCAGGTCACCAGCAGATGTTCATCTTTAAACTTAACCCCGAGGTAAGTCACCATCTTAGAGCCCAAAGCTAGTGGGTCGGATGTTCACCACGCTGCAGAAACACTACCATCCATTTCCAGAACATTCCCTGCACCCCAGAGAGAAGCCCCCGTCCCTCAGTGTCGAGGCAGAGGTCAGGCAGAAGGCGAGGAGGGTGGCCTCAGCAGTGTGACCAGGGGCTTTTACATCGGGACAGAACCTTACTTGAGCAAGGGGTAGAGTAGCAATGCAGACCCAGGAGGCACCCTGCTCCCTCGGCACAGTCCTAACATCTTCTGCAGGAATGTGGCCCTGGTCTCTTTAACAGGGCTCCCTAGGCTTGTGTGTATCTTGCACAACTGTGCAGGGCAGCCACAGCTGTCCCCATAGCCCTGCAGGCCACAGCCCAGAGCTGCCAAGCAGCACACTGTGCTCAGGGAGCCTGTTCAGGCTCCCACCCAGCCAGCCCTGGTCAAGGTGGCAGTGAGGCCCGAGGGCCATTGCCTGAGGCACAAACCAACCCCCAATTCTCCAGACAGACCTGGAAGCCACTGCCTACACCCCAAGAATTCTGCACACTTAAGTTGGCCAAACCCCAACTTGGGCAGGGCAGGCTGAGGTGCAGACCCACACTTGACACCTCAGAGGCTCAGAGCTTGCCAGAAGCTCCAGAGCCAAGTGTCTCCCCTGGTGTCCTTTCCAGGGCAGAGAGTTATGGCTGGAGACAAGCCGGTTTGGTTGGTCAGACCCACCTGGGGAAGTGGCTTCCAGGGACAGCAAGGAAGTAGGCACAGGGCTGACGCAGCCAGGCCTGGCAATATCCCAAGGTTCTTGGAAGGCCAGCTGGCTGCCGTCCCCTGACCAACCCCATGAAGAGAAACGCTGGCCCGAGTCCAGGGAAGGCTCGGCATCCTGAACCCTCACCCGACGCCGGAGAGAGTGCCCCTCTGCAGCCTCAGAGTGTGCTGGCCAGCGCTGCCGGCCCCACCCAACACGCCAGGGCGCCCGGCCAACTGAGCCACACCTGAGACGTTCACTAGCTTCGACGTGACCACGTGGCCCTGGGTACTGGGACAGAACACCCATGGCAGGCCCCGATCAGACTGAGCAAGGGACGTCTGTCTGTACACGTTGGATTGATTTGAAAAGTTCATTTTTAAGCTTTTGGGGAAAAAAAACAAAACAAAACTCAAGAGACTTTTTTCTCCAAAAATAAAAGTGGTGTTTCCTTGGAAATCTCCAGGCCTGCACCTTTGTGGAGGGGTGACACCCACACCTGGAGCCACACCGGCCCCACGTTCTTGTGGTCACCAACTTGAGAATGCCCCTTCACCCCAGAGAAAGCCTGCACCGCCAGCAACGCCCCCGCCCCGCCCCCGCAGCGGCCCCTCTGCCTGCACCTCCTGCAAATGGAATCCCTCGAACGCACAGGCCCCAGTGCCTGGCGACTGTGCCGCGCAGCGTGCCATGGCTTACACCAGCTCCTCACCTGTGGCAGAGTGATGCTTCACGGCACAGGCTGTCATAGGCTCCTTATCAGGGGACCCCTGAACTCAGCCCACCCGGCAGCTAGTAGGAACAGCGCCACATCTGCCCAAGGCCTGCGGCGTACCCGGCCCAAGCCCTGGCCCCTGTCTGCACACACTCTCCCCACATGGAGGGAACATGGGTGTCCATGCTCCAGAGCCAGAAGGAAACAAAACCAACAGACCAAGAGCCACCAACAGGCCAGGGTGGAGCTCACGCACCCACGGCCAGGGGCAGGTGAAGCAGCCACTTCCAAGCCCCCAGAAGCCTCACAGACCCCCTCTGTGCCCTCGCTCTAGAAAGAAGACCTCACAGCAGCTGCTGGCCCGGGCCCACTCTGCGCCCCCACCTCTCACGCGGCCTCTAAGTGCCAGGAAGGCGATGGGAGGGCGGGCAGGGGCCGATCTGAGGCTGGACAAGGGGAGGCCATCAACAATTAGCGGCCTGATCCCCTCCGAGGCGGGAGGCCCCTGCGCACCACCGTGAGCAGCAGCGATCGATGCCCGACAACGCGCTGCCAATTAGCAAGGCCGCTCCGGCGCCCGGCCCGCGTTCTCACTGCGCGGCTGGAGCAGGAGGGTTCGCCACCACTGTAATTAACTGGCAGCATTCAGCCAGGAGTTAGTCAATGAAACTGAGCCGGATTGCAGATGACAAGAGGCAGAGCGCGTCGTGTCACCTCTGCTGTCTGACCTCGCAGATTAGCACCGAGCCCGACGGCACACGTAATTAACAGCTGAGACCCCAGAGCCAGCCCGGGAGCCCGTGAGGATGGGCCGGGGCTGCAGAGCTGCAGCAGCGCCTGCCGCCTCTCACGGACACCAGCTTGCCTGGCCAGGCCCCGACCGCGGCACCACACCTCCTGACAAAGGAACCTCGGGCCAGGCGGTGGGGTGACTGGGGGCACCCCAGGAGTGCGGAGGGCAGGTCTCGGCCTGGTCAGGCTCAGCCAGTGACAGCGAGCCTGAGGGGCGGGGGCCCAGAGCTGAAGCTCCACGCAGCCCTGTGAACCCAGACTGGACCCCGCTCTGCATGTGGCCGCCCCACCTAGGAGTGACGGAGAGCAGCAGAGAGCAAAGTGCACCAGAACCCCCCAACGAGGGCTCTTGGAACGTCCTGCTGGGCTGCCTCCTCACATGCCCAGGGCAGCCCAGAGCTTGGCAGGGTCAGGACATCAGGTGGCTTGGCGGGCGTGCCTGTGGTTTACACCTCGTCCCAGTGCTGTGAGACAACGGAGGGACGCTGGGACAGAGACAACGGAGAGACGCTGGACAGAGCCACCTGAGTCCCTGCCCAGCCCTTGTCCCAGGCCCTGCTTTCAACCAGTGGAGAAACCAAGGGCCAGCAGTGCTTCCTGTCAGGTCTCTTTGGTCTCTGGGTGACCTCTGAGCAGCTTCTGGGCAGAGTCCTCCTGGCAGCTTTGCTGTGCCCCAGGCTGCTCCTCTAGGGTCACCACACTACATCTGGGCAGTCACCAACACTCCCCCAGACCTTCCAGCCCCCTGGGCAGGCGGCCTGCTGTGGGGGCTCCTGCTGGGCATCCCTCCCAGACTCTGGGAACTGCTCCCCACCTGCCCATCCTCATCAGCTGCCCAGCCCCGGAGACTCAGCGGTGCCCAGAGCACCTGGGGACCTGCAGGGCACCATCTGCCAGACGTGGCACGGGATGAGTGGGGAGGAGCAGGGCCAGACCATGCTCCAGATGGCCTCCTGCACCTGAAGAGCACCCCGTGGAACTGGAGGGCGGCCCCAGGAGCCAGGCAGCACTGGGGCCTGCTGGGAGGAGGGCTGCGGCTCCCGCGGGCGCATAGGGGCCAGAGCAGATGAGACACCAGCTTGCCTGAGTAAGTGACCCTCTGGAATCCCCGGTCCCTGGCAGAGCAGGGACAGCCGCATGGCAACACAAGGCTAGAGTCGACGCCTGCCATGACCCACAGGGCTTGGGAGGGCCAGCCAGGCAGCACTCGGTATCTGCCATATGCCACTACTGGACAGAGCTGCCCCCACCTGCCGTGCCAGCCAGAGCACCGCTGACCTGGGCAGAGGGGACGAAGGCTGGAGGCCGCAGCACCCAGCTGCGTAAGGGGCTGTCAGTGGGTGCTGGCCCCTGTCCTGTGCCTACGAGCCAGTCATAGAACCCACCAGCAGGGGAAGGTGTGGGCTCTGCTTTGGGACACATCAGGACCGAGGATCTGCCAGAACTGTGGCAGACACCAGCCGCTCAGACCAGGGCAGGAAGGATCATCCCAGGGCACCCAAGACGGTGGGGCTGCTAGCAGGGTGTAGGGGAGGTGGGCCCAGCAGGTGGTGGCCCTGGGAACTCAGGGCTGAGAAGGGCCCGGGGCACTCACACTGTGCTGAGGGATGGGACTCAGATGAGGGGGCCAGCCCCCCACCCCAGTCTTTTGCTGTTGTCTTTAAAAGAGATGGACTTCTGGGGGAGGGGTGTGGGCGGTGGGACAAAAGCCTTGTCCTGCCACACCACTGGATGGCAGTAGCCTCAGCCTGACCTGCAGGTGCACCTGCTGGGCGTCCCTCCAGGCTCTGGGAACTGCTCCCCACCTGCCTATCCTCACCCGCTGCCCAGCCCTGGGGATTTGGCCAGTGCATTGGGGAAGGAGCCTGGCTGGTGTCTGGTCACTGCCACCGAGGGACAACATCTTGGTTTCAGGTGGCACCAGGGACCCAACAGTCACCAGACCTGCCTGCCCTCACACCTGCGAGGCTGTGACAAGACTGGGCAGGCAGCCAGCAGACACGGCTGATCACCAGCACTCGGTGTCGTCGGAAGCTGCTCTGTGGTGGCAGAAGCAGGGCCTGAGCCTGGGGCAGGTGCCAGCAGGGCGGGCCTCCGGCTCCCATGGGCAGGTGCATAAGCCCCCGACTGGGTGAAGGGAGCAAGGCTCAGGACGTGGCCTAAGCCCAAGAAGCCCCTCAAGGGAGGACAGGTGAGGACCAGGCCACCGGGACTCAGGGAGATCAGGCAGAGAGGCTGGATTGTCCCCCATGTGCTTCTGGGGACCAGAGGGGCACAGAGCCCCAGGCATGCATGCCTCCCCAGATCAGCTGAGGATACACGGGCTCCCCACGCTGCAGCCCACTGACAGCAGACAGGCACTGCACCCCTGGGAGGCGAGCAGACCGCCTCACAGCTAGGCCCAGCCGGCAGCGGCCCCCTCCCACGCACACAGGCAGGGAAGGGGCCAGGGCTCGGGGGGCTGGCCCTCTGCGGGACAGGGCCAGCGATTCAGTCAACAGGGCCCAGGAGCACCTCTGGGCACCCAATGCCGCTAAGTCAATGGTTCCACAAGCACCAGTAGGTCCCACAATGGTTTGGGGATCCCCAAGTCACAAGGCAGGCCAGGCACTCAAAGCAGGCCAAAAGCCACTCCAAGACAGTACACGGGGGCTGTGGCTGGGGCTCAGTGGCAAAGTGCTTGGCTTGCATGTGTGAAGCACTGGGTTCAATCCTCAGCACCACAGAAAAACAAACAAAGACAGTGTGGGTCCATCTACAACTAAAAAACAGTTTAAAAAAAAAAAAAAGACAATGCGTGGGACACAGGGTTGGGGCCCAAGCCCAGTCTTGGGACACCTAGGCATGGACTTCAGACGCACCAAGAAGGGGAGGGACCCTGTCCTGCACGACAGAGGACCTGGGGCCTCCCCAGATGGCCTGGGCCAAGCAGCCCAGGTGGGACAGGCCCAGGACACAAGCTCCAAGGGGCCCCTGGCCTGTCACTAGGAAGGAGCCAGGGGTCCAGCCAGGGACCCACGTGGGCACAGACCCCCTCCTCCCAGGATGAGAAGACAACAGCAGAGTGACGGGAGGGCAGCCAGCAGAGGCCCCAGCCCAGCACAAAGCCCGACGGAGGACATTCCTCACCCCAGGGTGCCAAGGCCCTCCAGGGAAGCCAACAGTGTGGTGGGGACGATGGCAGCAGTTGGGAGCAGTGGGAATAGGAGGGGTGCCTCCATGGCGGGTGGGGGTCGGTAGTTAGGGCAATGAGCCTCTTGCGGTCCCTGTTTACCGCGCTCTGTGGCCCCAGGGCCTCCTCGCTGAATCACCGCAACCCAGGGTGTTGGGATGGCCTCTTATCCAAAGAAACAGTAGCTCCAACAGATGAAGCGACCTGCCCAGGTCACACAGCAGATTCTTAAAGGTGTAAACCAGAGTCCAGATGCCCACCACCTGCTGAGCGCAGGGAGGTCAAGGTGTCAGGTGGGTCCCCCGCCCTCCACCAGGCCCACCTGCAAACCGCAGAGGGCTGCTGCGCCGGTCCTCAGCCTCAGCCCTCCCCGAGAGGGCGGATGAGAAATGGTGTATGCATCTGCTTTGTCAGAACTGTGTTTTTATACTGCCCCCGTAAGACTCCATGAGGACACCATCAGCCTGAGCAATGGAGGTGAGAGCCGCGCAGGCTCAAGCCAGGCCCCGGGGCTGACAGAGGGCACAGGCCGGGCCTGTGGGGCAGCGGCACAGCTCTGCTGGCTCTCCACGCCTTCCTGACCCCCAGGAAGTGGCCATCCCTTCACTCCAGACTCCTGAGCATGGGGTTCAGCAGCTGAAGTTGGCAATGGCTGCGGCTCCTGTCCCATCTGGGCAGACATGGACACGTGACAGGCCATGGTGAGGGCACAAGTGTTCAGAGTTTGGAATGGCCCCTCTGCCACTTGCCAAGGCTGACAGGGACCCAGGGTGGCACACTGTGGCGGAGACCTCAGGCCGGGCACACAGCAGGCGCTCCATCAGTGGCCACAGTGGGGCGGAGGGAGAGCCTTTCTAGGCCACCTCCCTCCCACACATCCAGCTTGGGGACCCACAGGCCGGCCTCTGGGGTTCAGCCACGGGAGAGCACAGGCCCAGTCTCCCACCACACAGCCCAGGAGCAGGCCATGTCCAGAACAAGCAGTCCAGAAGGCGAGGTCCATGGCCACTGTGGGAGCCAAGGGCAGGGAGGGGAATGTTCTGGACGACAGTGGGCATGACTGCAGCACAAGCTTCCACAGGGTGACGACTCTTCCCCTGTGAATCATATCCAAGAAGCCAGCCAAGGTGGGAAGGCGTGGGGAGACCCGAGTCCGCGTGCCCACGCCACGCCCAGCTTCCAGAGCACAGCACACCCCCCACGGGAGGTGGTCAGCAGGGCATGGTCTCGGGCACCCTCACCCCAGCTCTCCAAGTCTACGAGGGAAGCCCCACACTGAAGCAGCACAGGACTTGCACCCCCTCTTCCTAAGCCTCAGGCCCCCACCTGGACAACAGCCCGCTCAGGGACAACTGCCTACTTTACAGAGAGGGCACGGCAAGGTCCAAGCTGGGGTGACAGAAAATCAGGGGCTGCCCGAATGGAGACCTGGAGCTCCAACGGCTTCGGGATGGCTTGTGGCCCCCAGCAAGCCCCAGATCTCATCAGAACGGGAGGCGAGGCGCTGGCCTGGCCACACCACGGTGTCCTGGGTTCTCGCACTGGTCAGTATCCACAGGTGCTGGTCCCACTCCTGGGGTCATTCACCCAGGGGAGCGAGCAGACACATCAGCAGAGTGGGGACAGACGCGCCTGTCACACAGTGGCCCCACCAGCCTGCAAACCTGCTCTGGTTCTCTGCTGCCAGGTCCCGGACACCAGAGCCCCAGGTCAGCGTCAAGAGGGAGCAGGGACCCGCGGCCAGTGCCTGTCCTCCAGCCACCTGCACACAAGGCACACCAAGTTCCCAGCCAGGGAGGCCGGGCAGGCTCTGACACTTGAGCCACATGCTGGCCCACCACTGGAGCCGGGCGCTACGGACAGCTGGGGCAGCCGAGGAAACAAGGCCTGCTCCCTTCCCCGCCGCGGGAGGAGGCCTCATGGCCTCTCCGTGCAGCACTGTCCCCTGAAGCCGGCACCTGGCCTGCAAGAAGTCACCGGCACACTCCAGCCCAGCGGCTTCTCACCCTGCCCTCTGCGCCTCTGCTGGGACGGCCCAGCCTGGACTCCAAGTTCAGTGTCCTGCTGTGTCCCCGCCCAGGCCACAGCAGACACCTGCTCACCTCCCCGCAAGCCTCGAGTTAGGGAGCCGCTTCCTCCAGGCATTTGCTCTTTGGCCTCCCGACAGGGGGACTGCTTGGGTGCCGCCAGGGAGCCCGGTAGCAGGGCGGAGGGTTCCCAGCAGCCCCACCTCCACCCTGTGAGCAGGGGGCGGGAAGGGAGAGTCGCCACAGGCACCCACCACCTCTCCCCATGCTGCTCCTGATGACCAGGCAACAGAAGGGACCTGGAGAGAAGACAGCCAGAATCGAAAGACCTGGCCCCTTGGTCAGGGCCAACACCTGCTCCACAGAGCTGGAGGCCCAAGGGACGCAGCCCCGGCAGAGAGTCACCCAGGTTTCCTGTGTCCTCAGCCCCTGCCTCGGAGGAGCCTGGGGTTCTGGGGGCCACCCACAGGGCCGTCTCCAGCAGTCCTGGCCACGACTGTTCCTGCTCATCAGCAGCCCTCGGGTTCTGATGTGCCCCAGGCCAGAGCTGGAAGGGCCTAGAGCGCCTCCCTGCACTGACTCAGAAGGGACAAATTCTTGTCCCGGGTCACATGGTCTGAGCCCAGGTGTCACCAGAAGGCAGGCCTCTGCACCCTGGGACTCAGGTGATGGGGCAGGATGGGGACACTGCTCTGGACCCCAGTGTGTCCAGAAACCCCCTGCTCCCCTCCACTGGGGATGGGCAGGCCTGAGCCGGGGCGCCAGCTGACTGGGCAAGGGCCACCCAGAACGCTCGGCGGGGCTTCGGCGACACACACGTGGGGCACCACAGCCCCTAAATCCACTGTGGTCCCACGGCCAGCAGCCCCCCCCGGCAGCCCCGGCCGAGGAAGGAGAGGCGGGGGGGAGCGGCAGGGAGGGGCTGGGGCGGGCAGCGCCACCTGTCTGCCTCCTGGTCTCGCCGTCGCGCAGCTGGCGCCTCTTACCTCTGGGCTCCTCGGCCTGTTTGGCGAGCTTGCGCAGCGCAGCGGCAAAGCTGGAGGACGGCGCGGCCTGGGCCGACAGCGCGCTGCTGGTGGCCGGGCTGCCGCTGGGCACCAGGGCGCCATTGAGTGGCGAGGGGGTGAGGGGGTTGACGGTGGCGGTGGTCCTGGTCGCGGTGGAAAGCATCCCTAATGAAGGGGACTTGGGCTCATGGCTCATGCCTGAAACAGGAAAAGAAGAACCAGGGTCACCGAGAGCAGAGCCAGCACCAGGCGGCGGCAGCATGCAGAGAGCCAGGCGGACAGAGCGGCAGGCTGCGGACAGGGGACAGACCGCGCCCAGCCAGGCACGGAGATGGCCGAGCCAGCACAGCCGCCATGGACACCAGGGCCTGGCGACCCAGCGTCCCAGAGCAAAAGGTGTTGGAAGGGAGGCAGGGTCCCCGGCCGAAGCAAGGTCAGCAAGGAGTCCGCCCCGTGCAGGGGAGGCTCCCGGACAGACGGCCAGGAGCGGAGGCTGCGCTCTGGGGAGGGAGGTCGGCACTGCTACTGTCCCAGAGTCACAGAGGAAGAAACTGAGGTTCCTATGTGGCCTTGTCCACTTGGACGGTCAGTGCAGACCCAGGACCCGAACCCCCACAGGCCAGGGCCCTCGCTCCACGCTCTCCCGAGTCCCAAGTCACCGGGCCCAGCGGGTGGAGGGGGAAGGCGGGGAGGACACGGAGCCATCCTGCAGCCCCCCCCTGAGCCCCTGACGGCACGAGGACTCCGCCACTCAGGGCCAAGTTCAGGACGGCAGCTGACCCCCGCCACTGGCAGGGCCGAGCCCAGGTCACAACCCCACCTCTCCAGTCCCCCAAGTATCAGTGAGGAGGCCCCGCCCGCCACAGCCCAGTCTTCACCCATGTCCCCGTCCTCGTGGAGGCCAGATGCCCCGTCAACAACCAGGTCCCGCTCCCTCGCTGTGCGCACCTCCCAGAGAAGTCAGCCAGTGGCCTCGCACCTGGCAGGGGCAGCAGGGCCACAGGCAGCAAGAAGCAATGTGTTTCCCGAACCTACTAGAAACTGAGAAGCGGGAAGGGACCCAGCACCCCACACCCCTGCTGGAGCCAGCGGCCAGCAGCCTGCCCAAGCCCGGGCACACCTCTCCAGGGGGGATGTGCCTGGCACGGCCGAGAGGTCTCCCAGGAGGCCCCAGGGCAGGGCCCCAGGCCCTGGAGGTGCACCCTGAGTTTGAGGTCCGGAGGGTCAGGTGGAGCTGGCCGCTGCCCTCTCCTGATGGGGGAGGAGGACCTCCCGGGCACTCGGAGGCATGTGGGTGACAACACTGCAGGGCTGCGGCTGAGGCAGGAGGCGAGGAAGCGCGGCCCCTCCAGCGAGGGCTCAAGCTCCGGAGCAAAGGCCGCACAAGGGCCCCGTGCCGTGACGAGCCAGCCGGCCTCCCAGGGGGCCAGGCAGCGCCCACGGCAGGAGGCCCACAGACCAGTGCTGGCCCCACTGTGTCCCGGCTTGCTCGGCTCCCAGGAGGAGTCACGGGTCCCCCCCGCGCAGCCTGACCTCCAGAACTCCCCAGTTTCAGTAGCAGCCTGGTCCCACGGCCACCCACCTTCAAGCCTGACAGACACGGAGCCCCACAGCTGGCCTGGTCTCTGCCCGCCCCGTGAGCACCCACCTCACCCAGGTGCACCCCTGCAGACCGCCTCCCGCACCCTCCCCTTACACAGCCAGTGCCCAGGGTGGACAGAAAGGCCCAGGGGACCAGCCGGGAAGGACAGCCCAGACAGGTCTCCTCCTGTCACACAGGGGCAACCATCAAGTCCACCCCGTGAGCTTCACCCCACGAGGACCGACAGGGGCAACCGAGGCGAGGGCTGCAGAGCCGCCGCATGACTGTCAGCACAGACTCCAGCCAGGACGAGTCAGAACCCGCGCTGCGGCTCTGTGCTGTCCCCAACCTGGGCAACTGAGCTGCCTGGAGAAGTGTCAGGGCCGTGTTGTCACCCGGACTCCTGCCTGTGGTGACCTGCCCCTCCCCACACAGGCCTGGCTCTGGCCCCGAGTAGGCTCAGCACGGCAAAGTCCAGCCCCAGGCGCCTCAAGAGGCCCAGGAGGGTTAGGTCCCTGGAGCACCCACACCACCCCTGGGAGGCTACCAGGGCTGCTGTGGTGACAGGCCTCGCCCTACAGGCCACAGCACAGAGCCAGGCCTGGCCATGCAGGGGCAGCAGGCACACAGGAGGGGAGGAGCCTGTGCACAGAAACACCGCCCGCCAGGGACAGCCCAGCAGGCCACAGGCTACCTTCCAGACAGCCTGGTCAGCTGGGCACGGTGACACACTCTGGTGACCGCAGGGTCTCAGGAAGCTGCGGCAGGAGGATCACAAGTTCAAGGCCAGCCTGGGCAACTTAGTGAGACCCTGTCTTAAAACCTGAAAAGGGCTGGGGCTGCAGCTCAGTGACAGGGGACCTGGGTTCCATCCCAGAGCAACAATAAAAGAGGCGGAGATCGACTCCCCTCTCGGAGTAAGGGCCAGACCTGCGTCTGCCTTCTGAGCCGTGGCATGGCGAAGGGCCCTTGCCTCAGCCACTTGAGCAAAGGTGGTCACTACCCCCTTGAGAGGGGGCTTCTGGCCAGCAGCTACAAGGGAGCCCCCACCCCAGCAGCAGGCCCTCTGGCCCCCACCAGCCCGCAGGACGCCGCAGGCTCTGCCGCTGATCAGGCCCAAGCTGCGCCTCCCAGCCAAGGTGGAGGCTCTGCAGGGAGGCTCCAAGATGCTGCCGACCCAGCCTCTACCTTGCTCCCCACCAGAGATTCCAGAGCAGCCATCTGCAGACACCCTGCCGCACGGAAAAGGCTGTTCTCACTGCAATCAGACCACCAGCCAGCCCTCCAACCCCAAGGGTCAAAAAAGAGTTGTCCCAGATGGGGGAAGGCGGGGCGGGACCAGTGCTCGGTCCAGAGCAGGGACTACTTCAACCTCCCACCTGGTCCTGTATGACACAGGGCCCAGCAGCCAGCGATGCCCACGCTACAAGAGGCAGGCTGCTGTCCACCTGGGCAGGTGCCACAGTGGACTGGGATCTGGGACCCCAAATGGCACTGGGGTCCCACAGACTGCACCTGAAGCCCCTGTGTGTCCCAGTGACTGCCTGTCCTTTCTACCTGGGTTCCACTTTCTCTGCCCTGATCCAGGTTTTGGAAAAACGAGAGCCTTCCAAGAGATGGTGACATGGTAGCCACAGTCCCCTGCCCGTCAAGATCATTATCAGCTCCTGAGGACATCCAGATGTCAGCCCTGCCCCCCCCCCAATCAGGCCCAGCACCAGTTCCCCAAGGGGGCCGCCAGCAGCCTCGAGCAAGGGTACCACCCTCCTCCACCCTGGTCCCTGGGGGTCCCCCGAAGCCAGCACTGCAGACGGTGCCAGTGTGCGCCTAAGCCTGGGGAGCTGCTCTGCTGATGTCAGGCCACTTAAAATAGCACTCCAGGAGCAGCTTCATTAGGGACCTAAAATTAGCAGTTCTGCTGCATGTGTGCCTGGGGAGGGGCAGCTCCAAGTGGCCGCGCTCGGGGACCCGGGGAGCCGCTGCAGAATGTCCTCACGCCTGCCCCCAGTCCATAGGCCTCAGTTGGCGGCTGCTATGTGCCCTCCCCTCCATAGATGGGACAGGGACCGCTGGCACCCAGGTCTGCAGAGGCCAGGGCAGGCCACAGAGACTGTGGAGCCACAGGGGCAGCAGCAGGGAGCCCCCAGGGGCGCAGGTGCCTATTCCCCCCTCATTAGAGAGGTATTTATTAACTTCTGCGCTCCTGGCCACTGACTGAATTCTCATCGACATTATCAGCTCATCTGAATTCATTATCCTAACAGCTGGGAATATGCTCCGCAGCATGAGGCCTGTGATGGATGAGGGCTGGGGGCTGTGCACCGCACACGCTCTCCTGACATGTGCTGCTCGGCAGGAAAGCGAGCCAGAGGTCTAGGTGGCCCAGATCCGCCAGGAGACTGCCTGCCTCTAATTTTTTACATCATTGTACCAAGTCTGGACAGGCTCCTTCTCGCCAGCTCAGCTCCCCAGGAAAGAAGGGCTGCCTTATCCAGATACCCGAAAAGGCCCCTCAGCCCTGGTCACACTCCAACCAAGGGGTCAGGGAAAGTCCAGTCCTGAGGCCACAGAGCTGAGGACCTCTGGGCTACCACCAGAGCCAGAGGGCAGGAAGAGAGGAATGAAGAGCCGCTGACCACGCTCACAAGGGCCTGTTTCGTGGGCAGCCAAGTCTGACACGGGGACCCGCGGTGAGCCCCCTTCGTCCCAGCCTCCCGTGTGCCCGCCCAGGTTTCTGCGAGGCCAGTAGCAGCACAATGCTCTGAAAGAAAGCCAGGAGGCAGCGCCCAGGGCAGCAGGAGCCCAGCTGCCTGGCAGGGGACATGGGCACACACCCGCTGGGTCCTGGCCTGCAGGGCGGAGCCCCGGCTGGCCTGACAGCAGGACTGCAAGAGGGGAGGCCTCTGCGGCCCCATTAGGTATGGTCCCTGACCCCCTCCTCCCACAAGGGGGATTATTAATCAGCACACCGGCCTCCCTCCCAGCCTCCCTCCCGGCCTCCCGTGGATCCCGTAATTACTGCTTCCTTTCATGCCTGCTCTGCCCGGCCCCAGACCCCAGGCCCGCTCCCTCCGTGCTCTGTAATTACAAGCTAATAGCTGAGATGAATTTTCTGCTGGGTCCCAGTTCAAGCACCAACCCGCCCCCTCCCCGGCAGCCCCCCTAATTACACCCTGCGAGGCTGCGCGGCGGGGCTCCGCTCTCGGCCGCCCGCACAATCTGGACCTGGATTCTCTAATCACCACAGAGAGAAATGTTTGTGAACAAATACAGGGCGTCCCCCAGCTCGGAGGGCCCCGCGATCCCTGCCCCCAAAGGGGACATGTTCCTGCAGCCCTAACAAGGCCAGGGGTCACCAGCTGTGGGGACTTGGGGCTGCAGTGGCACAGGGTGCCATGTGGTCCCCAGAGCGGCTCTGTCGTCGACTCATGACTCCTTCCCACACTCTGAGCGGCAGTAGCTCTGGGTGGGATCAGGGAGGGGCCTCAGCTCGGGCCAGGGAGGCCCCGACCAAGACTGCCACCTCAGGATCTCGAGGACCCACCCTGGACCCGCTCCAAGGTCAGTGCCCGAGGCGGCGGCTGGCAGAGCCAGGGCAGCACCAGCCCAGAGGAGG